TTTTTCTGTAGTCTAATGAAAGAGTTCTTGATAAACGTACAAATCGTTTGCAGATTAAAGAGCTTTGTTATAACCATTATAACGGAAAAATGGGCATAATTGATGGTTTCTGCAATCCGATCAAAGAGATCTTAATAAATGTAGAAATTTTTTGCTGATTGATTAGTTTGGCTAACCATGATAATAAAAAAAAAGGAACAAAGTGACGGTTTTTTGTAACGTAATGAAAGAGGTCTTGATAAACGTAAAAATTATTTGCTCATTAATGAGTTTAGCTATAACCATGATTACAAACAAGAGAGATAAAATTAATCGGCCTTCTGAAGTCCGATTAATGATATCCTGATTAACGTACAAATCATATGTTGATTGATGAGTTTGGCTATAAAAGTGATAACAAAAAAAATGAGCAAAATTGACAGTTTTATGCGATCTCATGAAAAAATTCTTGATAAACGTAGAAATCATTTATTGATGATGATTTTGGCTATATCCATGATTAAAAAAAAAAAAGCAAAATTAACGGCTTTTCGCAGTCTGATGAAAGTGATCTTTGATAATCGTAAAAATCATTTGATGATTGAAGAGTTTAGCTATAACCATTTTAATAAAAAAAGAGCAAAGTTGACGATATTTGACAGTCTGATGAAAGAGCTCTCGATAAACGAATTATAGGCTGATTGAAGAGTTTTACAATAACCATTATAACGGCAAATTAGCAAACTCAAAAGTTTTCTGCAGCCTAACAAAAGAGCTATTGATTAACTTAGAAGTTTGCTGATTGATGGTTTGGCTATAGCCATAAAAAAAAAATTGGAGCAAAATTGACGGTTTTCTACTGTCTAATGTAAAAGGTTTTGGTAAACGTATAAGTTATTTGCTGATTGATGAGTTTGGTTATAACAATGATAACAATAAAAGAGAGCAAAATAGACAGTTTTCTACAGCCTTATGAAAGAGTTATTGATAAATTGATAAATCATTTGCCGATTGATGAGTTTGACTATAACAATGATAACAAAATAAGAGAACAAAATTGACGGTTTCTTTCAGCGTCATGAAGAAATGTTGATAAGCATAAAAATTATTTTCCGATATATGTGTTTGGCTATAATCATGATTAAAAAGAACAAGATGAGCAAAATTGACGATTTTCTTCAGCTTCATGAAAAAGCTCTGGATAAAAGTAGAAATTGTTTGTTGATTGATGAGTTTAGCTATAACATTGATAACCAAAAAAACAGGAGAAAAATAACGATTTTTTATGTCCTGATGAAAGAGCTTTTAATAAATGTAGAAATAATTTGCTGATTGATGACTTTTGCTATAACCATGATAACAAAAAAAAGATAGCAAAATAGACGTTTTTTTCAACGTAATGAAAGAGCTCTTGGTAAACGTAATAATTATTTGTTCATTGATGAGTTTAGCTATAACCATAATAAAAAAAACAAGAGAGACAAAATTGACGACTTTCTGTAGTCGATGAAAGAGATCTTGATAAACGTAGATATCATTTGTTGATTGATGAGTTTGGTTACAACAATGATAAAGAAAAAAATGAGCAAAAGTGACAGTTTTCTCCAGGTTCATGAAAAAGCTTTTGATAAATGTATAAATCTTTTGTAGATGATGAGTTTGGCTATTACCATGATAACAAAAAAAAAATTGACAGTTTTCTGTAGTCTAATGAAAGAGTTCTTGATAAACGTAGAAATCGTTTGCAGATTAAAGAGCTTTGTTATAACCATTATAACGGAAAAATAGGCATACTTGATGGTTTCTGCAATCCGATCAAAGAGATCTTAATAAATGTAGAAATTTTTTGCTGATTGATGAGTTTGGCTAACCATGATAATAAAAAAAAAGGAACAAAGTGGCGGTTTTTTGTAACGTAATGAAAGAGGTCTTGATAAACGTAAAAATTATTTGCTCATTAATGAGTTTGGCTATAACCATGATTACAAACAAGAGAAATATAATTGACAGCTTTCTGTAGTCCGATTAATAATATCTTGATTAACGTATAAATCATATGCTGATTGATGAGTTTGGCTATAAAAATAATAACGAAAAAAATGAGCAAAATTGACAGTTTTCTGCAGGCTCATGAAAAGCTCCTGATAAACGTAGAAATCATTTATCGATGATGAGTTTGGCTATATCCATGATAACAAAAAATGAAAAACCAAAATTGACGGCTTTCCGCAGTGTGATGAAAGAGATCTTTGATAAACGTAGAAATCATTTGATGATTGAAGAGTTTAGCTATAACTAGAGTGATGTTGATAATAGAGTGATGTATTTTTACCATTTATTTGCGTGCCTAATAACTTACACCATTTGTATATATTATTATTATGATGTTGATAATAGAGTGATATATTTTTACCCTTATATTTCGTTAGTATATATTTCAGTTTAACTGTTGAGATTTAGTTTCTTTTTTCTAAACTTAATTTATTAATCTTATGGATAAATTCTATATCGTTTAATCAATATTCGTTTTTGTTAATTTTCCGATTTAGTTTTTATTATATATTTTCCATTTTTATGTTCTTCCAAATAATCGTTAGGTCTACATATACGTATCGCGCGTTTATACCTCATTGGATTGTTTAGCCGCGTAATCTTTTGATATGGGTTCTACAATGATACCTTTTACCTCTGATTCATGTGATGGTGGTTATTTTCATATTGCGTCTCTTAACCCTAACATGGGTGAGTGGTCTGTCTCGGTGAAGATTTTGAATTGTTGGTCTGTTTCGCGTGGCTCGGGTAGAGAGCTCAATATGATTTTGGGTGACGAGCATGTTAGTTTTTTGATAACTTACCTTCTATACATGTTTTCGATATTAAATTGAATTGGTTTTGTCTTTAACGTTTTATTTACAGTTCACCCAAATCCAAGCCGTTGTTCGTGATGAATTAATTGATAATTATCTTTCAAGATTGATAATCGATGAGTGGGTGAGCATTAAAAATTTTGATGTATCACGGGTTAACAGCATATTGAGACCAGTACCGCATAGATTCAAGATTGTTTTTCGTTCGGACACTTTAGTGCAAAATATTAATATGTGCTCCAGTAGAACCTATTTCAATCTAACTGAGTTTGTGAGTATATTGAGTGGTATTGTTAATCCGAATATTTGCGTTGGTAAGCCTAATTTATGAATTTATTTGTGCTTTTGGAGTTTATTTGCGATTCATGTTCTGACTGTATTATTCATGTGTGTTTCATAGATGTTGTTGGCAAAGTTGTCAACGTGAGAGAGTTGGTTTTTGTTCCTTCCGTGGAACATTCTCAAGGAGGATATTTTGAGCTGTACTTTGGTTTACGTGATACTGAGTAAGTCACTATTCTTTTAAAGATTTAAACCAGAATATAAAGTCTTATGACTTCTTCAAATCTTAAAATTAGGTGTATCCATCTAGAGTGTCGTTTAACGGGTGACCTTGCAGTCGAGTTCTATGACTTATGGAAGCATCGTTCACGTAACACAGTGATATGTATTATCAAGTTTGTGAAATTAGAGCTATCACAAGAACATAGGTGGAGATGTACCAACGTTACCGGAAGTACGAGGATTATGTTGAATCCGGATCTCAGTATTACCGACGAGATGCTTTGTTGGTAAGTATTTTTTTTTTTCCGTTTACAATCAAAACTCTAAAGTTGGCGACTGGACATTCACTGTTTATGGTGTTCTAAATCGGATGTCAGGAATCCTGAAAACGACCAAGTACCTATCATCACACACAAGGAGAATGCCATGGAGTGATGATGTTCGTTGATTTCTTATTTTCTTGGTGAATGGTTTTAAAAGATGATTTATTATTATTTTATTAGCATTTATAATATTATTGAATTTTTTAAATTTCATCATTTTCCATATTTTACCACGCTAAACCCTAAACAATTTACCATAATGATACAGAGAGATCTAGATTATAAAGTAAAACGTCTGAAAAGAAGCAACCACTCACCTCTGAATCATCTATCCTACCAAGAAGACGTGGTCCTAACTGCCTCCCAAAACAATCTGAAGCAAAAAATAAATAAAGCAAGAAAATTTCATTAGCTCATTACATAACCATGAAAATATGAGCTCAAGACTTCATACTATGATACAATTGAAGCGCAACTGATACATATTCATGGATACCAAACAAGAAAATTTCAAATGGCGAAACTTTATTGACTTAACCCTTACACTACCAAGTAACACCTAAACAATTCTTTATTTCACATGATTTTACCATTCACACAACATTATTCCCGCGCATTTGCGCGGACAATCACCTAGTTTATTATAAAATATAAGATAAGATAAGTGGAATGAAATATACAAATTAGAAACTCGAGTAATGGAATATTAGCCCGATATATTGAGAAGTAGCCACACTTAAGTAGCTACATCACAGACATGAAGACGACACCTCGAAGATATCTCGAGCCTTCTTTTCAGTTCTAACTAGGCCTAAGGTAACCGACCCGACCCAACCTAATTATTTTTTTGGTTTATTTTGGATGAATTTTTGATAACCGAATAAACAGAAAAACCCAATCCAATCATCCAAACTCGTAGGCCTAGTTCTAACGAAGACAAGCAAATGGATGTGCAAATCTGTTCGCATCTAAAGCATCTTTTGTACTTATTTATCATGGGGTTTTGGATTGTAGTCCTCCTATTTGGCTTGTATCAAATATTGAACTCGAGAAACATGTCACTAAGTGTATTTGAAATAAATTTGGTATGTTTGTGGAAGAACAAAAAAAAAGATTAGCCCAATAGAGAAAATAAATAGCTTTAAAAGGCCCAAAAAATTGGGTTAGAACCACACGAATGTGGAGAGCCTTAACCGGATGTGTTCAAAGACCCGAAGGTCAAATCCCGTCTCTGTCAGAGGAGATGCCAACCATCTCTCCTTTCTACGAACACAATCTTAAAGCCCATGTCTCAACATATATATACTTCACCTAAAATGAATTTTTAACCGATGTGGGACAATACTATTCCTTTACTTCAAAACCTTTCCTCTTCCCTGTTTCTGTCTCTGTCTCTGTTCTCGCTCAAATTTATGAAGAAGCTCGTTTCAAAGCTTCGATTTTTCTCCTCTTCTTCGATAGTTCCACGATGCAACAATACACCTAAACCTGTTCTCAATCCTCTTTATAATCTACTTCCCCAGACTCAAAACCCTAACAAAATCGTAGATGTAATCTGTTCAACACTCAACCACCGTGATCATTCCGTCTTGTTACCTAACCTTCGTGACGAGGTTAAATCGCTGATTCCTCATTTGGGTTACTCTGAAATCTCTAGGGTTTTGCTTAGGTTTCAATCTGATGCTTCTCGAGCTCTTGCATTCTTTAAATGGGTTAAATTTGATTTGGGTAAGAGACCTAATGTTGGTAACTACTGTTTGTTGCTTCACATTCTTGCTTCGTCTAAGAAGTTTCCTTTAGCTATGCAATTTCTCTCTGAGTTGATTGAATTGACGTCTAAGAAAGAAGAAGAGGATGTGTTTAGTGTTTTGGTTTCTGCTTCTGATGAATGTAATTGGGATCCTGTTGTTTTCGATATGCTTGTCAAGGGTTATCTGAAGTTGGGTTTGGTAGAAGACGGGTTTTCGACGTTTAGGAAGGTGATTGATTCCGGTTTTCGTGTTAGTGTTGTTACTTGTAATCATCTCTTGAATGGGTTGCTGAAATTGGATTTGATGGAGGATTGTTGGCAAGTGTATAATGTGATGTGTAGAGTTAGAATCCATCCTAATACGTATACGTTCAACATTCTTACGAATGTGTTCTGCAACGATTCGAATTTTCGTCAAGTTGATGACTTTTTGGAGAAGATGGAGGAAGAAGGTTTTGAGCCTGATTTGGTTACTTATAATACGTTAGTGAGTAGTTATTGTAGAAGAGGAAGGTTGAAAGAAGCGTTTTATCTGTACAAGATTATGTATAGGCGTCGTGTTGTGCCTGATTTAGTTACTTATACATCGCTTATCAAAGGTCTTTGTACAGACGGGAGAGTTAGAGAAGCTCATCAGACGTTTCATAGGATGCTAGACAGAGGAATTAAGCCTGATTGTATGTCTTATAATACTCTTATCTATGCTTATTGCAAAGAAGGAATGATGCAACAATCGAAGAAGCTGTTACACGAAATGCTTGGGAATAGCGTTGTTCCCGATAGGTTTACTTGTAAGCTAATAGTAGAAGGATTTGCGAGAGAAGGACGGTTACTTGCTGCTGTTAATTTTATTGTCGAGCTTAGAAGGTTAAAGGTTGCTATCCCATTTGAAGTTTGCGACTTTCTGATAGAAAGTTTATGCCAGGAAGGTAAACCATTTGCAGCAAAGCATCTATTAGAACGAATCATAGAAGAGGAAGGTCACGAGGCTAAACCTGAGACTTACAATAACTTAATTGAGTCGTTGTCCCGTTGTGATGCTATTGAAGAGGCATTGGTTCTAAAAGGCAAACTCAAAAACCAGAATCAAGTACTTGATGTCAAGACATACCGAGCTCTTATAGGCTGCTTTTGTAGGATTGGTAGGAACTGTGACGCTGAGTCTTTGATGGCGGAAATGCTTGATTCAGAAGTGAAACCGGATTCATTTATATGCGGGGCTTTGGTTAATGGATACTGCAAGGAATTGGATTTCGATAAAGCGGAGAGTCTATTGAGTTTCTTTGCCATGGAGTTTAGAATCTTTGACACAGAGAGTTACAATTCGCTTGTTAAAGCTGTTTGTGAAACGGGGTGTGGATATAATAAAGCGTTAGAGCTTCAAGAAAGAATGCAAAGACTCGGGTTTGTTCCAAACAGCTTAACTTGTAAGTACTTGATCCAAGTGTTGGAACACCCTTCTTTGCCCAATCATCCGCCTGAGAATTGAAGCAATGCTTGATGCGATGAAACTTATATTCCTTAATCTTGGCCAGATGCAAAGAAAATAAGTTAGAGGATGAGTACTGTGGATCGTTTTAATTGGTTGTAAAGCCTGTAGGATCTCGCGCAAAGGGTCCAGTACTTGCTTAGCACCCATGAGGAAAATGATGTCCTTGTGATTCAGTGCCCAGAGGTATGTATTTACGGCATGAAGCAGAGCATTTACATCAACTTCCGCTGCATTCTCAGCTGTTGAAGACTACCTCGTTTCCAACACACAAGTCTACTTTGTTGATCGAATAAGCGCCAATAAGCGGATATTATAAAGCTTTAGAGCATCCAGATAACAGTAATATTGACTAGTTGGAACTAAAGGATGGACCTGAAACGGTTGCAGATTGTCTTCAATAGTGTAGTCTGTAGTAATTCCAAAAGATTGAGCAAGATTGTCTTTTTGATACCAGCTCTTGTTTGTGTCCATCTTACAATTTCATCATGCTTGTAATTACCGAGCTTGCATCTGAGTACTTTTTTGCAAATCTTGTTCTAAAAGTAAAGTTATTTAATTTTGTAGTTCCAGCAATGTCTAAAACATTTAGAATCATCTTGTATTCTTTTTTTTTTTTTGACGAAAAATCATCTTGTATTCATCTACTAAACTTCTCCAAGCATATGAGACTTCTGTATCCTAGCAAAAGAGGGTAGAATCGGTATTAACCAAAACACTGTCTAAAACGGTAACCCAAAAAAATGATGTTGGGGAAAATTATAAGCTCGAGAAAGAGTAGGAGTCTAAACTAATTGATATGCACGAGCTCCCAACGCGGGAAAAAATCTCCTGCTTTGTAGATCTGGAGTTTGCAGCCGTCGAATCAGGTTAAAAATTCTCTCTTTATCAATTTTTGATGCTTGGGTTTGTAATTTCGCGAGCCTTTTAGTTTGCACACCAGGTGCTTGCTAAAATGTCCAAGTGAGCACTTTTAGGAATTTAGTTCTAAAACATTTAGAATCATGGAATTTAGGAATTAAATGAACTTTTAGCGGATAAAATTCAAAAGTTTTTAAAAATGAGATCAATCAGCTCAGCTAGTAGTAATATAGATTGTGGCCTTGTTTGGATGCAGGTGCATAGGATGATGATGATGTTTTAGTCATGAGTAGAATCGTGAAACATCCGGCTATTGCTATTTTGGATTCCAGCACTACGTTTAAGGAAATTCGGCAAATCCATGCTAAGCTCGTCGTCGACGGGACACTCAACGATGACCATCTCGTGGGTCAGTTTGTAAAGGCAGTGGCTTTGAGTGATCACACATACTTAAATTATGCGAATCAGATTCTTGATAGGTCTGATAAGCCTACATTGTTTGCTCTCAATTCGATGATTAGAGCACATTGCAAGAGCCCTGTTCCAGAAAAAAGCTTTGATTTTTATAGTAGGATACTCTCTTCGGGAAATGGTCTTAAACCAGATAATTACACTGTCAACTTCTTGGTTCAGGCGTGTACGGGGTTAGGAATGCGTGAGACAGGGCTTCAAGTTCATGGTATGACTATCAGACGTGGTTTTGACAACGACCCGCATGTCCAGACTGGGTTAATTTCTTTGTATGCGGAGCTTGGCTGTCTGGATTCTTGTCATAAGGTTTTTAATTCGGTTTCGTACCCGGATTTTGTGTGTCGGACAGCGATGGTCACAGCCTGTGCGAGATGTGGGGATGTCGTTTTTGCACGGAAGTTGTTTGAAAGGATGCCAGAAAAAGACCCGATTGCCTGGAACGCGATGATCTCTGGCTATGCTCAGGTTGGTGAGTCAAGGGAAGCTTTAAATCTGTTTCATTTGATGCAGTTGGAAGGTGTGAAAGTCAATGGGGTTTCTATGATTTCGGTTTTATCAGCTTGCACTCAACTGGGTGCTTTAGACCAAGGGAGATGGGCTCATTCTTACATTGAGAGAAACAAAATTAAAATCACTGTGAGGCTTGGTACTACGTTGGTCGACTTGTATGCAAAATGCGGTGACATGGACAAGGCTATGGAAGTTTTTTGGGGTATGGAAGAGAAGAATGTGTATACATGGAGTAGCGCCCTGAATGGGTTAGCCATGAATGGCTTCGGGGAGAAATGTCTCGAGCTTTTCTCTCTTATGAAACAAGATGGTGTTACTCCAAACGCTGTCACATTCGTCTCTGTTCTCAGAGGTTGTAGTGTGGTTGGTTTTGTAGATGAAGGGCAAAGACATTTTGATTCGATGAGAAATGAGTTCGGGATAGAGCCTCAGCTTGATCACTATGGCTGCTTAGTTGATTTGTATGCTCGTGCAGGCCGCTTAGAAGACGCAGTAAGTATCATCCAGCAAATGCCCATGAAGGCTCATGCTGCTGTTTGGAGTTCTTTGCTCCACGCATCTAGAATGTACAAAAACCTTGAACTTGGCGTTCTTGCATCTAAAAAAATGCTCGAGTTAGAGACCTCAAATCACGGAGCTTATGTCCTCTTATCAAACATATATGCAGATTCAGACGATTGGGACAATGTTAGTCACGTTAGACAGTCAATGAAATCTAAAGGAGTCAGAAAGCAACCAGGGTGCAGCGTAATGGAGGTCAATGGAGAAGTCCATGAATTCTTTGTCGGAGACAAATCTCACCCGAGATATACAGAAATCGACGCGGTTTGGAAGGATATCTCGAGAAGGCTGAGACTCGCTGGATATAAGGCGGACACAACCCCGGTTATGTTCGACATAGATGAAGAAGAGAAAGAGGATGCATTATGTCTGCATAGCGAAAAGGCCGCCATTGCATTTGGTATAATGAGTTTAAAAGAAGATGTCCCGATTCGGATCGTGAAGAACCTTCGGGTTTGTGGAGATTGTCATCAGGTTTCTATGATGATCTCCAAGATTTTTAACAGAGAGATCATTGTGAGAGACAGAAACAGGTTCCACCATTTCAAAGACGGTCACTGTTCTTGTAATGGCTTTTGGTGAGAATACTTTATGAGCAATGTAACCAATTTGTCTACATATACAAACTCGAGTTAGCAATTTTTTTTCTTCTACACATAGAAACTCGAGTGATTTTAGAGGTAAAACTTGGTTATGAAAAGAAATTTAAATTAAATTTTAAATGGAAAAATATTATTGTTTCTTCAATTATTATTATTTTATTCTTTAAAATCCAATAGTTATTTGGCGTTAATAGTAAAAAATGGTAATTGCTAATTGGAGAATGCTTTTAAGTTTGAATTGATGAGAGAAAGATAACAATGAGAGATGATCAAAGCAAATGTGTATTCATGTTTAAAGTTTAGATTTTTATATCGTCGGAGTTTTTTGAGCCGAGCTAGTTTTGTTCAAGAACAAGATTCTTGTAGTTTAGATGGAAATGTTTCATCACTTATAGCTTCTATAAAGTCTTGTGTCTCCATTGAACTGTGTCGTTTGCTTCATTGTAAAGTAGTGAAGAGTGTGAGTTATCGCCATGGGTTTATTGGGGACCAGCTTGTTGGCTGTTACTTGAGATTGGGTCTTGATGTTTGCGCAGAGAAGCTGTTCGATGAAATGCCTGAGAGAGATTTGGTGGCCTGGAACTCTTTAATATCTGGGTATGCAGGGAGAGGATATTTGGGGAAATGTTTTGAGGTTTTATCTAGGATGATGAGATCTGAGGTGGGTTTTAGACCTAATGAAGTTACGTTTTTGTCGATGATTTCGGCTTGTGTTTATGGGGGAAGTAAGGAAGAAGGACGTTGCATTCATGGGTTGGTGATGAAATCTGGTGTGCTTGAGGAAGTTAAAGTTGTGAATGCTCTTATCAATTGGTATGGAAAGACTGGAGATTTGATTTCGTCCTGCAAATTGTTTGAGGATTTGAGTGTAAAGAATTTGGTTTCTTGGAATACGATGATTTTGATTCACTTGCAGAACGGTTTGGCCGAAGAAGGTCTGGCTTACTTCAACATGAGCAGAAGGGTTGGGCTTAAGCCTGATCAAGCCACTTTTCTGGCTGTTCTCCGTGTCTGTGAAGACATTGGGGTAGTGAGATTGGCACAAGGAATTCATGGGCTAATCATGTTTTGTGGGTTCAATGCAAACAAGTGTATAACTACAGCCTTATTAGACTTGTATGCAAAACTTGGGAGGTTGGAGGATTCGTCTACGGTTTTTAATGAGATTACTTCTCCTGATAGCATGGCGTGGACAGCAATGCTTGCTGCTTATGCCACTCATGGGTACGGAAGAGACGCAATCAAGCATTTTGAGCTCATGGTTCACTATGGTATAAGTCCTGATCATGTAACCTTCACTCACTTGTTAAATGCTTGTAGCCACTCAGGTCTCGTCGAAGAAGGGAGGTATTATTTCGAAACAATGTCGAAAAGATACAGAATTGAACCGAGGTTAGATCACTACTCATGTATGGTTGATCTCATGGGTCGATCCGGGCTTCTCCAAGATGCTTATGGATTGATCAAAGAGATGCCAATGGAGCCGAGTTCTGGTGTTTGGGGAGCTTTGCTTGGTGCTTGTAGGGTTTACAAAGATACCCAACTCGGAACAAAAGCCGCAGAGAGATTGTTTGAACTAGAGCCTCGTGATGGTAGAAACTACATAATGCTATCAAACATCTATTCAGCTTCTGGTCTATGGAAAGATGCTTCAAGAATAAGGAATCTGATGAAACAGAAAGGTCTTGTAAGAGCTTCAGGGTATAGTTACATTGAACATGGTAATAAGATTCATAAGTTTGTTGTTGGAGATTGGTCTCATCCTGAATCAGAGAAGATACAGAAGAAGCTGAAAGAGATTAGGAAGAAGATGAAGAGTGAGTTGGGATTTAAATCAAGAACAGAGTTTGTATTACATGATGTTGATGAAGATGTGAAAGAAGAAATGATTAATCAACATAGTGAGAAGATTGCAATGGCGTTTGGGCTTTTGGTGATTAGTCCAATGGAGCCCATTATCATAAGGAAGAATCTTAGAATTTGTGGAGATTGTCATGAAACAGCAAAAGCAATTTCTTTGATTGAAAAAAGAAGAATCATTATTAGAGATTCTAAGAGGTTTCATCATTTCTTAGAAGGATCATGCTCTTGCAGAGATTATTGGTAGTATCTCAATTTCTCAAGTGTGTGTATATATATGAAAATTGCATGCACATATAATAAACTAGATATAAAATTTTGAACTTTTTCATTTTTCTATAAAGAAAAAAAATTAGAAACTACCCAAAAATTACAAAATTCAATTATTCTCTCTTTTATTTGAGTGGTTCTTCTCTATCCAAAATTCAATTATTCTCTCTTATTTACAACTACTGAACTACCCAAAAAAAAAAAAAATACAGAAGGGTATTACCGTATACCAGATATCCCATAATTTATTAACTTTTCATAATCTACAACACATCTATACTATATAAAAGTCGAGGCTATAAGCTTCTAAAGACGTCCACCTAGGATTTTAAACGACCACTCGCGGTTGGCCATCTTGCTAATTAACATTTTTAGCCATCATATTAGTTAACATTTTTAAATTCTAATATTTTCTACACTAAATATTAATAGAAAAGGAAAAGAAAAATAATATATGGAAAGAAGAGAAATGTGAGTTTTTGAAACAATGATATATAGATTTCAATATTATCTTTGGTTATATTTTACCAAAATTTCTTTAATGAAAGTAGATGCAATATTTTCCAAATTAAAAGGTCATATATAAAAACCAATAAATATCTTTTAAAAAATAAACAGAAATTTTCTACTTCTCAAAAAAACCTATTTTCTACTTCTCGAGCCACTTTCTTCTTCGGTGGGAAATCAAGTCTCAAAGAGAGAAAAGTACATCTTTATAATTTTCTTTTTTTAGATAACTAATTAATTGTATAATTTTCTTAATTATAAAATTCTATATAGATAACAGTATAAAACCCAAAACCTTATTTTTTGCTTCCCGAGTCAGATCAGATCTCAAAGAGAGAAACGATGATGATGTCCGATCTTCCGTCGGAATTGTTAGAGGAAATACTATCTACGGTCCCTAACGATGGTATGCTATATTCAAAGATCAATACTTCACCGAGAAACACTTTAGTAAGGCTGCAAAGCAGTCTGTGGTTCTTGACGTAATATATATATATATAGGGTTTGTCGAGTAAGCGTAAGGCTCAACGTTGCTCCTCCTTCTATAGAGTTTAAGGATCTCTTAGCCTAAACTATTCCTATTCTAATCTACAGCAACTCTATTTACTTGAAGTTTCTCATTGCGACGGTTTGTTGTTGTGCGTATACCATCAATGACAACAAGAGCTCGTGGTTTGGAATCCATGTTCGGGGGTGGATCCAACCCAAAACTGGTTACATGAGGTACTCTACGCTTGCTCTAGGTTACGTAAACAACAAATCTTAGCATAGCTACAAAATCTTGAAGTGTTCGAGGCGGCGACCCCAAATTTGTTGATAGGTCTGAAATATATGAGTTTAGCATGCAAGGTTCTTGATGAAAGCGGCAATATCAACTATGACTTGCTTGGTAAAGGTGTGTCTTTGAAGGGAAATACTTACTGGTGTGCTCCGGATATAAAACACATAGGCTATAAATTGTTACTCGGTTTTGATTTTACAGCAAGAGAGATTTAGATGTATATGTGTCTTCTGCCAATTCGAATGACGGTCGCGTGGATCTATTAGCTCTTAGAGAAGAAAAACTCTCACTGTTAGATATGAGCTTTGTTACATTAAAGATTGATATATGGGTGACAATAAGTTTGATACTGAAGTTGTGTTGCAGTGGACCAAATCCTTTACAATGGATAGACCCATTGGCAGTAAGCTTCCTCCATATTTCGTCAGTTTTGTATTCGACGACGAAAAAAAGTGGCTTTGTGTTGTGCTCAAATTCTTGAGGAAATGGCATACATTCTTGGAGAGGATGATAAGTATATCAGAAAAATTCCTTATCCAGAATATGCAAAAGAATCATGTTGGCTGGATTAATCTTTCGTAGGATTTGTAAACAAACCCTTTACGTTTAATTATGTTCCAAGTTTGTTCAAATCCAGCAAGGTACAAGCTAGAGGCAAAAGAAAACTACGACACTAGAGTCGGAGAAAAATAATTAAGCAAGTGATTTCTTGTGGTTCTACCTATTTTCTTTTCTTTGGTAGACATACAGTTTCTTTAAAACATTATTTCTATTGATTAATTGATCGACTGTTACAATGAATTGATATATTATATTATAATATTACTTTGATTCCTTTCTTCTTTGCATTACATTCAATTCTTTTTTTTTTTTTTTAACCGTTTCGTAAATTTTGTCAACTCTAAAACTGCAAGTCTTACGTATATTCCAAGTAACGCAACATCCTGATAGGTAATTTATGAGAGACAAATAACGTAAATAAATATTGGTGCACCAAGATAAGTAAGGAAACATGATTTGATCATAAAACTTAAAATGTCTATGTTAAAACAAGGAGCATTGGGCGGTTGAAACATCTAATAATGCCAATAATGAACTTTGATACTATTTAAAAGTCGAGATTATAAGTTTGTGAGACTGTCCATGTGAGATTTTAAATCACTATTTGCGGTTAGCCTACATCTCAATGATTAACATTTTTTCCATCTCATTGGTTAATATTTTTAAATTCTAACACTTTATATACTGAATTTAAAAATAAAAATAAAATAAAATAAATGTAAAGTATAGATTTCAATATTATCTTTGGTTATATTTTACCAAAAAAAATTTTCTAATAAAACTTGATGCAATATTTCCAAATTAAAAGGTCATATAAAAAACCCGATTAATAACTTTAAAGAAATAAAAAGAATTTTTTCTTAAAAGTCTATATAAAATATATATATATATAATTATATATCTATACTATATAAAAGTCGAAACCATAAGCTTCTAAAGCCGTCCACGCGGGATTTTAAACGACTAATCGTGTTTAGCCATCTCAATAATTAACATTTTTTTTATTATGATAATCTTCTATATCAAAATCTTAGTAAAAAGGAAAGAAAATTGAAGACAACAAGAGAAATTTTGAAAATATGGAAATAGTTCTAAATATAATCTTGTGTTATTAAAACTATAATATAAAATGGTCAAATTGTAAAGTTTTTATTTTGTTAAGAATTAGTAAATTTATAAACGAAAATATTTAAAAATATGAAAAAAAAATTCTGAAAATAATTTTTGTTATCAAAATACAGAAAATAAAAATATAGATTGCAAAGTTATTTTAAAATTTTATTAATTTTAAAAACAAAAATATTTAGAAAAAAATAATCGGTCATTATTAGTCTCACTAAATATATTAAAAGCTATAAAACAACGTCTGTAAAATAATTATATTGTTAATTTTTAAATATAGTTTATGCGGCCAACTCACATGATGTGTTTCGAATTATATTAAAATAAAGTCTACCAAAAAACACACTTATAAAGTATATGGAAATAATATCATCATTAGTCTCATTAAATTTATTAATATTTCATCTTAACCAAGAAATTAGGAGTGGAAATTTTGGTTTAGTTTCAAGTTAAATTTGATTCGGTCTAACAATCTAACCACAATTTAGCTTATTATTTACAAATATTTTAAAAAATGACAACAAATTGAAGCAAAGAAAAAAGTTTTTGTTGTTGGGATACATAAATAAATTCATATTAGTCTCACTAAATTTGAATAGAGTAATCAATCAAGAGGTAAATGAAAAAAAACTCAAAAATGTATAAAATATATACATGTATATTCAATTGTATATATATAGATATATTGTTTGAACAGCTTTAAATAAACTATTTAAATATGATTGGTAATTTTCATGTTCAGTTTTGGCATTCGGATATTAAATTAGTTTAATCACTAAAGATTTGACAACAAATTTGCATACTTGAGTAAAAATGAGTGAGTGAAATAATTGGTAAAATCAAAAGATAAATCAATGGTAAAACTGCATATGCACTATTAGAAGAAAATTTTGTTCTTAGCTATTATGAATATCTTGAAGAGGGCTAGATGAAGTAAGCGCATGGAAATAAGAACCAAATTACGTTTTAGTATCTATATTTTTAAATATTGTGCTGACTAAGGATTTCTTTAAAAGAGATGATTTCACTTTTCTATGTTTGCGAATTAAAAACAGTTGAGATTATATTGAACTTGACATGAAAGTAGAATACCATTTGTGAGTTAAAGGTAAAATGTTATAGATTAAGATAATGAAAAGGAATCGAGAAATAAAAAACATAAAAAATGGTAGAAATATGATAAAATAATATATGTGTTTGGGATGTTTAATGGATATATGAGATCCATTAAGATTTAAGATACTATTAATTTGATCTCATTGTATGACAATGAGACAAAATTTCTGATAATAATACATATCGAAACAAAAAACAAAAAAAAATTCTTCTTATAAATTGGTAACATATATCGACTTGAACTAACATATTAAATATACAACGATGATTTCTTATAATGTAAAAAAGCATGTCCATGGTTGTAGGATAAATCTAAAGAAACAATATTTAGCTTGGGTGAACTGTGAGGAAACTAAGTTTTTGAAGTCGTTTAATCAAAATGGTTATCGAAATCCAAAAGTATATTAGGAAAATTGATAAAAATAAAACCCCCGCGTAGCGGGGGTTAATAACCTAGTCTATACTATATAAAAGTCGAGGCTATAAGCTCCTGAGGCCGTCCACATAGGATTTTAAACGACCAATCGCGGTTGGTCACCTCAATAATTAGCATTTTTAAACTTTCTAAATTTTATATATTAAGATAATTATAATAAAGAGGAAAAAGCAACATATGAAAATAAGAGAAATATATAGAAATATGAAAAAATTGCTAGATATAATATTTTATATGGAAATATATAAAATAAATTAATCAAAATGTAAATTTTTTTTTTTGAAAGTTTATTACATTTATAAACGAAAATATTTAAAATATGTACAAAATTCTAAATATAAAAGTTTTTTTTTTTTTTTAACATCTCTAAATATAAAAGTTTAGTTAATCATAATAGTCTTCTTAGTTATTTTATTTTAAATTCTACAATTTTCTATATTAATATACTAATAAAAAGGAAAAGAAAAACAATATATGGAAATATGAAAAATGTGAATTATTGAAACAATATCATATAGAAATAAGACAAATGTAAA